ATGGTGACTAAGAATTCACTTCACCGGGCAACCCGTTAAACACAGGCAGAAACGATGCGAAAGGCTCCCGGAGCAGTTCTTGCTACTGCTATGCACCACCCGACCCGTACTCGCTACTCCACCCTCTTCCGTTCCATTCCATTCCAATTTCACAATCCACCGGTGGGGACACAATGCAGCCCCAAAGAGAAGGTCCCTGGTTCTGCCCCTCCCACCCCCCCAGTTTGTCGTCCCACTCTTCTTGTCGTTCTGGGGCCCCCCAACCCTTCCTCTTCATCAGGGAGCCGAGCCAGGTTGCTAAGGACAAGGAGCCATAATGAACACTCCAGCCTCCGGATCCCCAGCGGTGAGCCCCTCCGGGCCTCCTGAGGTCTCCTGTCTGTTGGCACTGGGCCTGCCCGAGAGGAGGGGCCTGGCGGGGAAGGGAAGGGTGAGGCAGGCAGGTGGCAGCTGCCCATCTCCCCATGGAAAGTTACAGCCCCCGCCCCCCACACCAACCTTCCTCCCAGATAACAAAAACAGCCCCACCTGTCACTGCTGGACGGCTGCGGGTGCAGACACCGTGTTCAGGTACACAGCCTCTCCACGTGATGGGGAGTCCTGCTCCCATTTCACAGATGGTGAAATTGAGGCTCGATGAAGGGGAGGGACTTGGCCCTGATCTCACAGCTCAGAAGTGGCCGAGAGGGGATTTGAAGCTAAGCAGACTCTCAAGGGGACAGAAGCCACCTCACTTCGGGGTCCCTTCCCTTCTCAAGGCCTCAGTTTCCCTTGGTGAAAGGGGAGGTCTGGAGGGGGTGACCTCAAACATTGTATCCAGATATGACCTTTGCTGGTCTCAGGTCGTCACGGGCAACCCCCCGGGCCATGCCATAGGGATACAAGCGGGGCTGGCTTCCGGTGCCTGCCCCTCCTCTTGGGCGTCATGATCCAAACGCCACCTGGTCTTTTCCCTTCTGGGCTGTCCCGAGGTCAAGGTTGTGGCTCCTGGCTCTCATTCCCACTCCCTCAGGGCCTGTTCCTCTGCTGAAACTAGTCTGAGCGTGCAGCCGACAGACTCACTGGGTCCCTATCCTGGGGCTTGGATGCCTGAACCCAGGAATTTCCAATCTTGGTCTGACCTGGGTTCCCGTCCTCGATGAAATCCACTGGGAAATCCTGCCAAGTCATAAAAGCGATCCCAAAAAGTGCCATTTTGGTTAAAACAAGAGCAGAGGCCGGTTCCTGTGTGTGACTTCTCCTTATCCACCACCCTCTCCTGCCACTATCTCCGGTCACCCCAGGAGTCCCTGGAACCCAGTTTGCAAACCACAGGATTAGCCCAAAGTCAGGGTGCTAATTCAGGTGCGGCCTCTAGGGGGACTATTTTGGATAAGTGGCCTGTGCTTGCTGGATCCTCCACGTGAGATGGGCATGGATTGGGGCTGT